AAATGTTTGCTGACCTTCTATCAATCTCTTTTATCTCTGTTGTATCTGGGCTGTATGTGGAGATATAAACAGCATATACTGTAACTCATCAGGCAGTTCCTGCTGCACATCGTGGTGGCAGCCATTGCTAATGAGATTAATTGGTCTTGACTGATGAAATTGTCAAAGCATATACCTCTAAGGCTCATAAACACTGAGCCTTAATTGAAATCAAATGTATATTTTTAAAAACGCATGTCCAGCATCATAGACTCTTTTCTGTTTGGGTTTTGTTGACATTAGCAATGGTAAAGAAACCTGATCAAGAAGGTTTGCTGTTATTACTGCATTGAATACAAACTTCGCACCACTCTTAAGTAGCTGATTAGGGAAAGGAAGTAATATTCTCTTGATTATTGGTTACACATATGGAATAAATCCCATTTTAATTGTGTCTAATGAGGCATTCATTTCTAAAACCTTACACAAAAGCTTCTAATAGGAAGACAAAGTGATATTTCAAAGGTTATCTTAATGTTACTTAATGTCAACAATCTCTAATCAAACTAATATATAGAGATGATGATTACAGTCCAGTGTGATTCTTTAAATATGAAATAATTTTCTAAATTAGCAGAGCAGTACAAGCTGAAATTCTTTAGATTTGAGGCTATTGAAAATTTCTAATTAAAGTTTGTTACCTAAAATGAGCCACCAGTTAAGGAGATATTGCTCAAAGTAAGGCTTCCTACAGTGCAGTATTTTTCAAAACCCACGAGATTGAAAGTTCTGTCACTTACAATTTTATGCACTATTCTTATATGTGTCTGTAATTCCACTGAAATGTGCAAATGGCTCTCCTTCAGTGATTTTTCTCAACAGAAGACCATAAGGGACCATGGAAATGTGGGGTGTCCTGTGGGTCAGGAAGCTCTGAGGGAACTTGTGAGCATGCTTATTTTCGAAGCAGACATCTGCCTGGTAGCACTTTGCAAGTCAGGAGTTTAAAGAATTTCTAGTGAAGAATTGGTATTCTTGGATTTTTGTTTCATTTACTGTATGAATGAAGATAAGTTTGCCCTACCCCGGTATACGCCTCTCAGTCCTAGGGCAGCTGCTACTATGTTAGACCACATGATTCTTGTCCAAATGAGAAAATAGTGGATTCTGCAAAAGGCTATCCTTCTGTCAGAAGATTGTTGTAAGAAAATGGGCACTGATGACAGCCTGAGTGGCGTTTTCTAACTCACTCGCTCGCACTGGGGATAGAGGGGCCTCGTGCACAGAGATGAGGTCAGAGATTTTGCACTTCTGATAAGTTCCCAGGTGATGCTAGCACTGCCTCTGACCTCAAGGCCATGTCCTTGAGCATTACTGTTCAGGATTCTTCAATATTGAGCCTGACCAGCCATGTACAGTGACTCTGGATTCTGTCTTCTTATGAATCAGCTTTGCATCTTACTACTTTTTCCTATGGGACTTATTCAGTATTTGTTGGATGATAAAGAATGCTATTTAGATAATTTACTAACCCTTTTGAAAACACACACCAGGAATGTTAGCATGGAAGGCTTGATGAGCAGCAGCTCGCTTTCCCACCACTCTCTTCTCATTAGTGTCATTTGCCTCTTTTTCACATCCTGTGTTTTCAACCTTCACTTCCCTGTTGATGCTAAAGTTTGATTGTGTGTCTTCTCTTATGTAGCGGTACATGATCTATAAATCTTGGACAATCTGGTGATCCAGTCCCTGGGCTTTGGATTCATGGCTCCACAGCTAGTCCAGGAAGCAGAGCACCTGAGACAAAGCAATTGCTCTGTTGTGTGGGATTTGGTTGGTAACTCGCAGAGCAGTGAGTTGACAAGTTGGACCTTACCTTTCGAGATGGATCTTGCCCTGTAGAAACTTCAGCAAAAAACCGGATGATTACAGCCAGGGAATTACTTATAATAGTCCTTATTTATCTAAGTTTAATGTTCATTTACAAAGTCCGAAGAACTTAGTAAAGATTTGGAAAACACGAAATATCTAAGAAAGAGGATAAAAAGCATCCATTGTCCAAATACCCAAAGAATCCAGTTTTGATGTATCTTCTAACACTCTAATAAACTTGCCTGTTACTTTATTTTAAAAGTATCTAAGAATGTCTAAAGAATAAAAACTCTTTTAAGTAAAATGTTAAGGAATAAAAACTGGCTCAGAGAGAAGAAATTGTTTTACTAAATTACTGAGTTAGTTCCTTAATGAATGATAGTGATTGATTATAAAATTATTTGTTTTCAAGTTTCATCCAGGGATCACAAGAGGAGCAACCAGCACCCCCTTTTCCTTGCAAAATCTTCAATGTCACATATTTATTTGGGTGTTTGCAATGTATGGGGTGTGAGGCCTAGCCATCTATCTATCATTCCTTCAGTGCCTAATTTCACTGGTCTTGGGATCATAGTTTCTTGAGTTAATTTCATCAACAAGAATAGGTAGTACGTGCTGTGAACACTTGCATATGTGGAAGTGCCTTTCTTCTGCATTTATTTGTACAACTCAGTGACATCAAGCTTTGCACTCTAAATAGTCCCCCTCAACACTGAAAGCATTGTGATACTACTGTGTCATCTTCCAACCTTTCAGCTTAAAGAGGAAACATATGAGCTGGATTTTTACTATCTACAGAGGATGGTTTTGTTTTCATTTTTATCATGGCTGTTCATAGTTTCTTCTACCTCTGCTATTTTAAAATGGTAGGGATATTCTGAGATGTTACTCATTTTCAGTGATTTGCTTGAATTGCAGTGAGATTTTGGGTTTTTCTTACTTCTGTTAATAGGACAGCAATTAGTTGAATTTTAATTGAACATTTGAGTGAACATTTAACTGGGAAGACTTGGGAATGCTAGCATACACAGAGTTTATATCTCATCATGTGGACAATATGAATTAGTCCAGCACACATCTAATTACTCTACTGTAGAACTAGAGGTTGTGCTTTATCTGGTACTCACAAGAACCTTATTAATCTGTTCTAAAGTTGTTTTGTCCTCCCATCCTGATGCCCAAACAATGCAGCTTTCTCTCTGAGGAGACTGTAGGGTGGAGAGAATACTGGGCCTAACAAGCCCCGTGTATGCACCCCTGGAACTAGCCCCAGAATGAAATCCACTCTACAAAAGAACCTTGCTAGGAATCAGGCTACAGGCTTAGTGTGTCCAAAACCACAGGCTCATTTTGGGGTTAAGTGTGGTCCACCAGGTGATTCCAAGTAAAATAAACTGAGCTCCAGGGGTTTGCTCTGAGTTGTCATTGAAAAGAAACCTTAAAAACAGAGGTTTGGTCAGCAGAGCCAGTTTAGCTGTGAATTTGGAGTTAATTTTGAGCCGTTTTATCCTTAAACTTCAGAAACACTTGAAACCCTGTAGAAATAAGCCCCTCAACTCTTCTTTTCCTCTAACGACATGGCATTATATGCCCTTTGCTGCTGAAAAAAAGTACTTGGCTTCGTCAGCATTCATTTTCCGTTCAGGCTAAATTTATTTTTATGTGAAATATAAATCAGGAAAACACCAAAATTATTTTAAGCAAAATATCAAAATTGAAATAAACCAACATATGTCTGTGAAACATGTATAACTCTCAATCAAAAATAAGTGCAACTTTCATAAATTTCTTAAAATACTCCAGCATACAAAATGTGAGCAACTTAAATAGATGGAGTTGTGACATGTTTGATTATTCTGTTTAGCTTATTCTTTACTTGAAGATGAAAATTCCAGTCACCAAACTTGGCCCGCTCTAGATCATCCTTTATGCCCGTGAGCTGCCCCATCTATTTTAGTAACTAAGGGTCATCATACCTTCTCAGCGAGGCCGTGAGATGCCTGCTAATTTTGAATCAGAATCTCCTTCATCTGACCTTCGTTACTTATATTCTTTACTTTATCACTCCTGTCCTTATGGCCCTCTTTAGAAACTGAGGTTTCTTGATGCTTTAATTATGTTATACTTTATTTTGATAGGTTTATTCTTCTTTCTAGCTTTCCCTTCTAGTGGGCCCTCAAATAAAATTAAAATTGTCAAAGTCGCACGAACATTCTTGGGTTTAGCACCAAAGGGAGTAATCAGTGATAAGTCTCCAACTAAAATGCATTCTTCTTTTATATGCTTTTCCTAATAACATTTTCTTTACTGTATTATCACTTGACCACTTTGATCCTATGAAGTAGCTCATACTTTGCCCACAGAAAATATTAAGTAAATGTTACTGTCAATAAATATTGACACAATAAAGACACATTTACTATAATACCAAATTTTGATTTTTGATTCTTTTCATGAATTCTGTAAGAAAAATTTTAAAAATAAAAGTTAAGTTTTGGGGAAGATAATTCAACATTAAATGAATTATCTATTTTTTTTGGTTCCTTTTAAAGCATGTTTATAACATTGCCCTCCATGTAAATATGGTAGCCTTTTGGGAAATTGAAAACTGCTGGTTGATATAGTTTAGTTTCCAGTACAGCTAAGGAAGTTCTAATCGTATCAGTCTAATGGACATGAGCCCTCTTCACCCTGGACCTCTCATCTTTAATTCTTTTTTCTCACACATCACTCTGATTTTTATATTAGCTTATTACTTGTCAAAAAAGTTTCTTCCTTCCCGATTTCTTCAGTTTAGACCAATTTGGAAGTGGAAAAGTGTGTTAATTTTTTAATAACTCTTTAAGACACACATTACTGTATTTTTATTAACAGAGCCAGATGGCTCACTGTGAATTTTCTCTAACATAAGTGATCGCACAAATCAGTTTGGGACCCAAATCTAGTATAGAAAGAGGCATATATATTCAGTGGAAAAATGCAGTTCACATTAGCACATGGATAATTTTAGCAGTAATACTTGGTCCTGTTTGGATTTCACTTTAATTTATTGTTTTTAAGCTAAGTATAAAATGAAGAGTTTACCCTCCCCTCACCCCCATGTCACTCAAGGTCCTTCTCAACAACCAAAGATTGTTTTTCTTTTGCAGTTTGAAGGTTGCAAGAAGGCCTTTTCCAGGCTTGAGAATCTCAAGATTCATCTGCGAAGCCACACAGGCGAGAAGCCGTACCTGTGCCAGCACCCGGGCTGCCAGAAGGCGTTCAGCAACTCCAGCGACCGTGCCAAGCACCAGAGGACACATCTGGACACCGTAAGAATGGTGGCAGCTCTCTGCCTAGCAGCAAAACCCAGTGTACAGAGGTGCCCCTCTTGCGTGATAGTGGGCCAGTACAAGTATTTGCTTTGTGACCTAGGGGCAATAGGGGCAGCCCCCAGGGCAGTAGAAGGAACTGATAAAGTGCCCGCAGGGGCCCTGTGTGGCTGATTCAATTTTATAGTCACAGTTTATCCTAAAAACTATTTAGAACTTCCTAGTACAGAAGATTACTGGGTTACTTCTGTATATTAAACATAAGGCATTTAGAAGATGTCCTACAGCAGATTTTAATACAGTCACTAATAATGACTATTAAAATAAGTAGCTAACTGTTGAGACATACCAACATAGCAGTGTATGCTAGAAATATGAGATGTATTTTCTTGTTTGTTTTTTTGGTTGTTGACCTGGATTCCTTTCTTCTTCGTGTAAGAATATGGCAGCCGACAGTTTTTGAAAGTGAATCTGGCCTTTTGCTTTGGAAGCAGCTGATATTTTCACCTTCAGGCAATCGAGAAAGAAACAACAGGCATTTCCCAAGGGTTCAGTTTCTTCATGCCTTTTTGGTGTTAACAGCCACATATTCCTGGATACCAACCCTATGAGAACAATTGATTTTTATTATCACACCCTTAACTCCTTTCATGCAGCCACGTTTTGATCACTCACAAACGGCTTTTCTGTTTAACGCCTGTCTTTTATTGTTCCCATTATAGTGATAGGCTTTCTTTGCATTTCTCAGGCTTTGATGCCATTTTTCCTACACAAGGCCAAGTAGACCTATGCAATTTCATTTCACTGAACAAAGCCATTGGGAGAAGTGTATTATAGACATCATAGATCTCTTGCAAGTCCCGTATTCTTGCAAATAATGTATTCATGACAGTACGTTCTCAGCATTAGCATTCTGATGTCTATTATTAAACTACACCAGAGTTTGAATTTTGAAAAGATACTGTTATTTCTACACACCTTCTCATACATATTTAAGATTCCGCTGATGTTATAGTTGACATATTTATTAAATTTTATATTAGTTTCTGTTAGTCACATTGATACAAGTCATTTTAGCTATATGTCATATAACCTTTCTAAACAGAATTATCTCTACTATACATTAATGTAATGGTTTGCCTTATAAATATGTGAAATAGAGTTAGAATACTAAGGATGCAGAATGGCTCCTTCTGACTTTCGCTGAATTGAATTCACTGATTTTTTAGATCCAGTAGAATAGAATATTCAGTGAATGAATGTGGGGAGTAGTGGGGTTCTTAATGTAGAAAAATGATAAAAGAATAAATTATGCTTAAATATCTCATTTTCTTGTTTAAATATCCCACTTTGTCTAATGTGGTCTTGGTGGAACCCAACAGATTTTTCCAAATTGTCGTTAAATTTTATCATGGAAGAATGAACATTCAGGAAACAAGACTGTCTGAGGAAGTACTTACACTCTAGCTAGCTCCTTGTAGCTTCAAGGCAGCTATGCCACAATTGAGTGTTGCAGCTCATAAGACCCTTTACCTGGTGCTAATTTTATCTAACCAGACAAAAAGTATTTTTAAAAAATCCTTTCATAGTTTTAAATTTATGTATCTCCTTTAAAAACTTTTGAGAAAAGCCACCTAAGATAATAAGGTCAAGATTTCACGTCAATTCATTACTTCTTAAAACTCAGCTATATTTTCTTGAAAAATAATTTTTCTATTCGATCTGTTAAAACTCATTTTTTTCCCCTGAAGTTCCAAACAAGCTGTTTGAACTTTTACTAATTTAACAAACGAGTGAAGTTAAACACTTGTTTCAAGAAGCAAACATAGTTTCCTAAAGAATTTATAGTTTAAATTTAGGTTTCTGTTTCCCTTCATTAATCATTCCTTATGCAAATGCTGTCAGAATTTTGGATAAGGTATCTTTCTTCAAATAAGTGGATTCTTTACACCTAGGAGAATGATTTTCCCATAAAGATTACTTAGTTCGTAATTCTAACCATGAATTTTTTTATTAATTCATTTCTGTTAATATTTTTAATATGTAAACAAGGAAAGTATCAGTACAGATAGAAAACAATGAAATATGTAGTTTAGTGAAGTACAGAATTCTGTTTACAGTGTAGGTAATTGGAGATAAAATGACCAGGACCGATTACTGCTTACGCCAGTCCCTGACATCGCTGTGTCGGCATCCTGTTCCCGGGGTGGCAGACAACAAGAACAGAGTCAAGAGTCCTTGGGGGCATCGGTGAATGTGGAAACTTTCTCCAGGAGCATCTCAAAATTAAATACCAGTGACGTAACCAGCCCAAATCATACAAACACCCATTTCTGTGGGATGTTAATATTCATAAAGCCTTTTTACATGAAACATATCCTCTCGTGCTCAGAACATGAGCTTATGTGACTCTAGTGGCAATTGAAGTACAGACTTTGGCTAGCATTTCCCCTGAACCTGGGACGGTGTAGGGAAGGCTTGTGTAAGAAAGCTCCATAAACTTGGAAAAGATTTTCAGGCTAAAGAAAACTTTGTTTACCAAATGGAAGCTCATTGGCAAGCAACTTTTCAGTCATGAGCTCACCATTTTGTAAAAATTGTATTAAGAACCTGATTCAGGGCCAACGAGATAGCTCAGCAGACTAAGTGCCTGCTTTGGCAAGCGCAGGGACCAGGGTTTCATTCCTGGTCCCGCATGCCATTCCATGAGACCCTATACCAAATACATAAGAAGGAGAAGGAGAAGGAGAAGAAGAAGAAGAACAACAACAACAACAACAACTACTTTATTCTTCTGTTGCTCATTCCCTGCTTTCTTACGCTTATGCAGTGCCTAGAACATTCTGGGAGGGTGAGCGCTGCCAAGGGGTTTCAGTCAGCCAGCCAGTCAACAGACACATCAGGTATCAAACTTAGAATTCAAACTGGGTATGTCAAATTAAATTATATATTCATGATTTTACCTTGTTCTTGGAATTAAAATGGAAAGAAAAAGTACTGAACCAGAGATATTGCTTCCAGAAGGAAAATAATCTAACCCACATGTATGTTGCCCTACAAAATGACAAGCGTGCACATGGAAACAAGAGTACAACATAAACGATAAAAGAAAATCTGATTTTTTTTTATCAGTAGTACAGAAGCTTTCTAGACGAAGATTACTGTTTTTGAGATTAGGTTTTAGTTCTCTTTATGTTTCACACCACAGAGGTACAGATCTCATACCTCACGTGATAAAGTACTGAGTTACTAAGCGGATCAGTGACAATTAATACATCTTGCAAACACAGTTAATCCTGGGATTTTTTCCCCCTACAGTTGTTGGAATAAGCAAGATGTTAGGGCTGATCTTGCACCTGGATAGTTATGATTTTAAAACTTTTGATGCGAATTTTGTCATTATGGGCCAGGGAGCTGGCTCAGTGGAATAAGCGCTTCCCTGGCAAGTACAAGGGCCTGAGTTCAATCCCCGGTTCTGCAAAAAAAAAAAAAAAAAAAAAAAAAAGAATTTTGTCATTATATTAGAAGTAGGTGATATGCTGAAATCTTTGTGCATGTGAGATGCTGTCATTCATCATTCTTCATTCATTCATTTCTAAACATTATGTACCAAGCATCAGCAATCTGAAAATAAAGTAGATTCCAGCCTCAGCCTTAGACTCCCTAGTTCACATTTCTCAGGAACATGGGGACCTGGAGTGACCAAAATGCATGTTCCTAATCCCACTTGAAAGTGCTTACTTGCTTACCTCAGGCTCAGCACTAGACTCCTCTGCAGCTAATGGTACTAATGTTCTTCTTGCTAATTTTTCTTGTGTCTGTTATTTGAAACTTACCGTCTCTTACTCACTTGATGCTAATGTTTTCTTCTTAATTCTCTCCCTCTCTCTTTCTGACTCAGGTTTCTCCTGAAACATACCCAGTCTTTTCTGGACTTTTCTACAACTTCTTTACCTGAATCCTTAAAGAATATGTATTTACTAGTTTCTGACAGTACCAAAGATTGTTCTCAGGGAAGCATAACTGTAAGTATGACTGAAGATGCTTGCTAATAATTTCCTCATTAAAAATTCCACAAGAGGTTTTGTGGTTAGGGTGCAATCTAAAACAATCTCTTAAAATTTGTCAAGGCTCAGACAGTTCTTTGTTTCTTGAAAGTTTACTGTCCTCTACCATGATTCAGAGTTCCTGGGCCTTCTAATTAAAATAAGAGTGTGACCTGGCAGCTCACATTAGTTAGCTGGTAACAGTTTGAGCTCTGGATAGTTTTTGAGTAGAAACTTCCCAGTTACTTTTATAATTTAACCACAACTAGTTTTTCTTTTTTCTTTCTTATTTAGAAACCTTACGCTTGTCAAATTCCAGGATGTACCAAACGCTACACAGACCCAAGTTCCCTAAGAAAGCATGTGAAGGCACATTCTTCCAAAGATCAACAAGCAAGGAAAAAGGTAATCTTAAAAGAGAATTTTCAAGCCAGAAAAAGCATTTTTAATTCACTGTATAGTACTTAAGAGTTTCTGCCGGCCATTGGAAACTCTTCTGCTTCTTAAGGTACAACATGCTTGAGCCAGTTTGTGGAGGGAAAGTCTTCCATGAAGTAATAGTGGGGCTATGGTAGGTACAGCTGATACAGGCAGGTAGGAATTTCTGGGCAAGGCTTGTATAGGTGGACAACAAAGGAAGGTAGTGAAAGTCCCTTAAACCAGAAAGTAACAAAAGGCTTTTATGGAAATTAAGTCTAAATAGGCAAGAAAATTAAAATGAGAAAAATAATAAAATCCTTTGTGGAGAGACATACTATTTCATGAACCATCAGTTGGCTAAAATCATTTTAGTTTCATGAAAAAGGAAGGTGAACCTCTAGAATAAGAACAGAGCATTCATGTTAAGCTTAGAGAAGAAGATTTCTTTTTTTATGTATTTAGTACAGGGTCTAATGAGTGTCACTACACAGATCAGACTCCTAGTGATCCTCCTGTTTTCAGCCTCCCAAGCACTAAGATTACAGGGGTATGCCACCACACCCAGTTTCAATCTCAGTCTCAGTGCGCCCCAGGGACAGAGCTGGTACAAACCCCAGTCCCTACATCTGCCTAAGCAGGCACTTTAATCCACTGAGCTATCTAGCTGGCCCTAAGAAGATTTCCTGATAGATTCTGCGTACACAAATCTGAAAAAAGAATTAAATTTAAAGTCACTTTGACATCAATGAGAAATTAATGCATTTTTCAAGGCTTGTAGAAATCATTATGTCTCAGATTTGGAATAAGTGTTACAGATCAACCAACCAGTCAGCCCGACTTCTCTCCAGCCCGCACATTGTCTAGCCAGAGCTTGGCCATGCTGGTCATCACTTCTGCTAGAGACAGGGCACTTACTCCTCAAGGTTTTGCCTCATAACTGAGTTGTTAAATTTGTGACTCTGTTAGGCATCTTTTTTTGTTTTTTGCATGACCATAAATGTGTTGAGCTATCTTGGCTTTTTGAGTGTTTTGAGGTAGATACCTGGGTCACTGCAGGGATCTTTATAGCAAAGGTAAGGACAGTTTAAGATGCAAATTTGTTTCAAATGATTGAACTCCCATGGTAAGAGTTTTCATTTTACTGTGCCTTCTGGTTAGAGATCTTTCATTGTTTCTGTCATGGTTTATAGGGATATTGGAAGATACTCTTGTCTTTTTTCTCCCTTGAGATTGTTAACACAATGCCAGCTAATGTCCCATTTATGGAAAGAACTTGACTATGTCTTTGTAAGTTACAGAAATACTCAGCTGGAAGGACTTAACAGATATACTTCATTGTGTACCACCCCAATCTTATAAAACAGTTGTTAAAGTGTCAAGAAATATATTCAAATCTTTGTAATTTGAATCCAAGTAAATTGATATTCATGATCATTTGACATGGATATATTATTGAATTTTCAAAAATCAGAGGTATAGTACTGCTAAGTAATAATATAAAATTGGAAGGAATTGCTTAATCTTCTTAAGATAATACACCCTTGTTGTATATTGTTAAGTACTTTCAACAGAGTCACTAATGGTTTTTGTCATTATCTGTATATTAAATATTTGAAGTGGTAAATTATATTTGTTTAAGGAAATAGCCTTCCTAGATGAAAGGGTGTTCACTGTAGGTATGCCCATTCTGTGCCTCCAAGTTGTCCCTCATGTCACACTTTGCCTTCACTATCAAACTTATCAATAAAATTGGAGAGCACCTTTTTACAGCATAATGATTATCATGGACATGAAAGGCTATTCATCCGCTATCTAGATAAATAAGCAACAACACAATGTTCCATTGAAGAAGGCTTCCTAGGTTGACAGATATAAGAACCAAACAATGAATATTCTCCAAAATTGTTAATGATTTTTATTGTTCAAAAATGGTGTTCCTTCCTCTGTATAAAGGAAGAGTAATTTTGATTGTATGAAGGATTTTCGAAGCACTAATTGAAAAAAGAGAAACAGATCTTGAGACTAAAATATAATATTATTGACAGTTTATCGGCAACTTTCGACAATCTTGATCACAAGGATATACTATCAGGTAGTGTTATCATTTGTATTAAACACTGCAGGTCTTTCTTAAATTTGTCTTATGTAAAATGAGATGTTTATCTCTCAGATGATTTACCTTTTGACTTTTACTGTGTTTCCTCCAAATGGCTGAAATTGACCTGGTTGACTTTTATGCCCAACTTGTAGTGAATTTACAGTTTTGCTTTCCAAATTTTCAGCAGCTTTTTTATTTTCAAACGCTTTATGAATTTGTGATGGATTGAGGTGTGGAAATTAAAGGGATGTGAGTTGCTTCGTGCAACATAAAGAAGAAATGTCACTCCCTCTAGAGAAGCAGTTGCTAATAGACCTGAGATCAGTCAATTTCTAAGTCTTGCACTGATGTACCGGTGTGTTATATTTACATGGTACAGTGTTGTTACTGGACCTTGGAGAGATTCTAATTGCTCACTCACATCAGGTCTTGGTATTTGAAATATTTCCTGGCAGCAATGATAAAAAAAAAGAAAGAAACAATAAACCTTTTAAGGCAGAATTAAGATTATTTACGACTTTAATTAAAAATTGAAAACTGGCATCATTTCAAAAAAGCCTTTACAAAAATGTGAATTCATCAGAAATAACCATAAAAATTCCAGGGTGATAAAGGCACAGCGGAGTAACAGTCACAGCCTTGGGGAATTGTTTTGTTGAAAAGAATAAAACTCTTTTCTGTCACACCCTGTTAGTCATGGACTAGTTTAATATACCCTGCCTGCCTGCCTGCGTCTAATCCTCTTTTTAACCTCTCCCTAGACACTAAATGACATTATTTTTGGTCTTAACATCACCAGCTTTGTGAGGCCCTATCTGAAATTGGGGCCAGTGGCAAAGCACCATTTGCTATAAGATGAATGTGTATCAGGAAAGGCCAAATCTCGTAAGAGATGCCCTGGCCATGGGCTTTGTGGCCCTTTATTGCACCTTATGGGTTCTACTGAAAACCGAGAAGAACCACAACTCAGCTAAACATTATTCGACCTACAAAAAGAAAGAGGGAAGAAAGGAAAAACATTTGCAGAGAAATGGAGATAATTTCCCTCACCACATGCAGAGAGTAACTTTTCTCTCTGCATAAATGTTTCACTCCCACATGTCCCATTGGCCAGTGTGTCGATTTCTTGTCTCCTATGCACTTTGCAGTTCTTGAATCCATTGAAACAGGGCTACACAGATACATAGGGAAAAAAAATACTCAAGTTACCAGCAATGTTCTCCACTGAGAATAGAATTTAGCCTATAGGGCAGAAGTCAGAATCTGTCCTTCAATTCTATCTGATAATGTGTGGTGAAATAAGAGAGAATGAAGGCAATAAGCCACTTGAAATTTTCCTCAAGGCTGTGAGCTTTATCAAAATTTTTCATTTTCACCTTGGAAATGCCATAAACTGGATGTTTCCTTCAACTCCTGCCTGTTATCAAAATGGGTATTCTACAAAGCGAATGCAAGCCATACCTCACCAGAAGTTAGACGCGACATGAACATTTCATCTAGTTCACCCTCCCACAGAGACTCTGAACTTGGGGTATGATTTATTAAATGTTTGTGAAACATTGACCTTTGATTTGCTATACTTGATGACCTTCACTTTTGTACCTCAACACAGGCTGTACCAAACCAAACACAGTGTTTGAAATGTGTGTGAGTGCAGCAGTTACGTGTTTCCTATTTAGAGGAGAGCTCTGTGTAGCTTTCTGGCTAAGTTGGAACTGTTTATCTGATGCAGTTCTCTACTACAACTGGCAACTTTTGGAGCTCTTTAGAGTCACCACCTCTCCCCTGTATATGTGAAACTGCCACCTGATTTCAGCCTGCTGTATGCAGTTCTTGGAATCTTGAGAAGCTATGTAAAAAGCGATTATTTTTTCTCTGACCGGAGGCATGTATTAAAAAGACCAAGCAGGCTCGCTTTGTGTATCAGCTGTTTTCTGTCGTGGTCTAAATGGCAGGTGGGGGACATAATCAGGTTCCTCCTCAGGTTCTGTAGTCTTTTTTCACCTGTTTCTTTTTTGATTCTCATCAAGAACAAGTTAAAACCTATCTCACTAATAGTAGAATATTAGTACTAGGGCGCGTATCACAGACATAGCCTGTCAAGCAGCATGCCACCCCACCACATAGAGCAAATCTGTTAGAGTGCAGGTGAGCTGGAGTGGTGCTGTTGTAGAGGTGAGGTGCAAACAGAACAAGGTGTTTTTCAATGCATCATAAACTACTATATTATAACAGTTCTGGGTGACAGATAACTTGTCTTATACTTCAAAATCATATCCTGATGCCTCAACCGAGAGGAGCTTATTTCAAGAAAGACTCTGGGAGATGGTATTGGAAAACAGAGTTTTTTGGAGGTAAAAAATAGTGCACTGATAAATAATTAAATTTACATGAAAGAAATACACAACCTTAAATTTAACCTTACATTAGAATCAAATTTGAAACCATTTGCCCAGCAGATTCTACTTGCAGTAGACATAGGGCTGGCGGGATAGCTCAGAGGACTAAGCACCTGCTTAGGCAAGTGCAGGGACCCAGGTTTGAATCCCGGCTCACATGCTGCACTGGCCCTGCCCCCAGGCACGCTGAGCTGACCACTGAGACCGGAAGTCACAGCATACGCCTGTAATCCCAGCACTGGGGAGGCTGAAAACAGAAAGATCACCACAAGTCCAAGCTGTGTAGTGAGACCCTGTACCAAATATATTAAAAAAATAAAAAGACTAAAGTAGACATAATAATGATGGCAGCTTACCTCTGAGAGCGTTGTGATGCCACACAGTGATAGGAACTATTAAAACAGTTGCGAAGTCACACCTACTGGGGTTGTGTGTCACAAAGATTGAACAGTTTCTCTTCCTCTCATAAGTTATCACAAAGCCTATCT